AAAAAAAAAGAAGGAAAAGGAAAAACAAATGGTGCTCCTAAAATGTCCAATTCTAATATGGCCTTTTTTATCTTTGTTTTTCTAATTAGTACAAAGCCATACTCTTTTTCTTTTTCCTCCTTCTGTTCAGGAAAGAAATGTGATGAAAATGATTAAAAATGAAATGTTTGCCTTATGTGCAGTATACAAATCTATATACCTGCCAGGCTCAACGAAAGCCTTGCAGTTTTTCCCCCCAGGATATTTATATTCCTTTCCGTCCTCCCCGCACCACACACACCTCCCCACCTATTCCTCACCTTCCCACTCACACCAGGGCGGGGGGGGGAGGGATTTATTCTCTGTGAGCAGAATTGTGCAGAACTCAATGGGAACTTGCCTTTGGCTATAATTCTGAGGGGGCACATGGGCAAAAACATAGGCATTTATTTGCTGATAGAAACCTGGGAGAGGACTGGGTGGATGGGAGTGGTTCTTTGATCAGAGGAGGTCATCATGACCATAGTTAGACTTCTAAAGATAATTTAAAATAGACACACAGGGCAACCATGCCAGTGTGTGCCCTAGCCTTCACCAGTATCTTCATTCGTGAGACTTCTTGTTCAATGAGGCCCTAGAAATAATATTTTGGTGCCATTAACAGTGGAGAATGAAAAGATGATGCCATAAGAAGGATTGTTTTAAGCTAAAGAAAAAAAAGTAACAGAAGGAAAACTAAGTATGTATTTAAAACCAATATTCCTTTCAAGTGCCTGTTTTTTTTAATTATCTAATGCAGTACCCTCTGCATGATTTTGGTCATGTCAATAAAGATCAATTTGGGCACCATGGGGGCTGATGAACACTCTGATGCTCTCCCCTGAAAGGGGGCTCTGAGAGAACATAAGAATTCAAAGGATATTACTGGGCTCAGCATGTCTGAGAAGTTCATTACCAGCAAGTGCCTGAGTCAGATGCAGTTGGTATTAGAATAATTCAGAAAATCAGTGGGTGAGCTGATATCTTGGGGAATGAGAAGTTTAGGGTTTGAAAGGACAATCTTTCAATGTTATGCAATACAGAGCATTCACATAGGAGTACTGACTTAGCAAATCAAACACTCTCAGGTACTAGGTGGAACACTTAGAGGGTTCACACATTTTTAAGGTTATGTTGCCAAATGCAACTATTTTCTAATACTCAGTGGGATCAATCACAACCAGAGACAGAGCAAAATGGTATAGAAATGCTAGAAATGAAGTGGGAATATAGGTAACTGGCATTAAATCCAGTTTTTGATTCGGGGGTTAGAAAATTCTTCTAGAACTGGTGATGCCTAAGTGGAATCTCAAACACTGAGTTGGAGTTAATCTGCCCATAAGAACAATATACACAAAAGCAGAGAAGCAAATAAAAAAAAATATGGTAAAGTGTGCAGGGACCTATCAACACCTAATTAGTGAGAGAGCAGACATTGATGAAGCGCATGCAGGCGTCTGGTGGGGATGGAGAGTGGGGCATGTGCAAGGCTGGAGAGCCTTGTGCTGTGTCCGAGTACTAGGAGTCACCCTGAAAGCAAAGGGGGGTCAGCTTTTTATTAAAGTGTGTCCCTGTGGTACAATGCCCGAGGTGTATTTATCTTCCAGACCCCAGGGGAAGACAGTACTTCAGATCCTAAGGTTTAAATTTCAAGTTATATATGTAACTCTTGACCCTTTTAAACAGCCTGTTTTTCTTGCAATCAACTGTATATGAAATGAATGAATTTTTTGGAGGAAAGATAGTACTCATCTCTCTTCTTTGTTTTTATAATTTTTTTTCTTTAAAAAGGAAACAGTTGAAATCTAACTAGAATCATGACAGTATGCCATCTCAAGCACTATCATGTAATATTTCTGCTAACATAAAGTAGCTATAAATAAATTGTCTCATTTATTAACAAAAGAACAATTATTAATGATGGAAGATATTGATTATTATACTCTGGCGATTATACTCATCTCTCTTCTTTGTTTTTATAATTTTTTTCTTTAAAAGGGAAACAGTTGAAATCTAACTAGAATCACAGTATATCATCTCAAGCACTATCACGTAATATTTGTATTTATCTTCCAGACCCCAGGGGAAGACAGCACTTCAGATCTTAAGGCTTAAATTTCAAGTTATATAGGTAACTTTTGACCCTTTTAAACAGCCTGTTTTTCTTTCAATCAACTGTATATGAAATGAATGAATTTTTTGGAGGAAAGATAGTACTCATCTCTCTTCTTTGTTTTTATAATTTTTTTCTTTAAAAAGGAAACAGTTGAAATCTAACTAGAATCACAGTATGCCATCTCAAGCACTATCATGTAATATTTCTGCTAACATAAAGTAGCTATAAATAAATTGTCTCATTTATTAACAAAAGAACAATTATTAACGATGGAAGATATTAATTGATTATTATACTCTGGTGATTACGAGCCCTTGCAAAATGGAAAGACTAATTTTGGTGCAGCTGAAAACTTTATTCCTAAAATTCTGGTTATCAGCCTGTCATGTTCACGAAAGAAATTTTTTAAACATTCGCTATTCTGACATTTGACATTTAGTATTTAAATTTTTTAATACAAGCAATTGAAAACCTAAGCAGTATGAATTTTACATGAATTATGATTAATAGGTAGATCTTTATCAAGATATCATTTAGGAAAGTGTGTGGGAAGAACCCTAGTCCTAAGAGATGCTCAGTGGGGGAAAAAAATATGGCTTCATAGCTAATTAAAGTTGGGAATTATAGAATTTTAAGAGATTCATAATGCACATTAGCATCTAAAAGCTCTACGAAATGCTGGGGGTAGGGGAGCTGTTCATCGTTTTTGTATGCAACATTTTCAAAATTTCTTTAACCATATTACTTCTTTAATTTTAAAGTGAAACTTATTAACATTATCATCATGATACTACAATTTATTGAATGCTTACTCTTTGTCAAGAATTTTGTACTACAAATGCCATTTAGTGGTTATTGTA